CACGAGCATTCCCCAGGACTGGTGACACCACTGTTCAGCCTTGCTCTTGCCGAGAAGGTTTCCACACAACGCTTCAACAATGAATTTCCTCCGGAGGCGTCTCTCAGACAGTAGTTTCGTGGCGAATTTGCCCAATGGCTATATGATGGACTTGCAGCGCCCCGACAACTCCACAAGCTCCCCGGTTTCTCCTGCCATGGAAAGAAAGCACCCGCAGCCACCACAGCCCTCTCACTCTTCCTCTACTGGCACCAGCATCTTCAGCTCCATCTCCAGTGCCATGAAGCAAACCACGCAAGCAGCTGCAGGACTAATCGACCACTCGGCCAGCCCCACACCACCTGTGGCCCAGAAACCCAAGATCCTCCTGGTGATCGATGATGCGCACACAGACTGGTAAGTCATCACAGCCCTCCCTGCTGAATTCAGCTCCACAAAATTTGGGGGAAGAGAGGGATCTGGGAAGCATGGGGCATCTGCAGGGGGGTACACAGATACTTTCACATCTAGGTCACCAACTCTGGCCCCAGGTCAGTGTCTGCCCGGTGACTTGTGTAAATGGCAGAGTAGGCTTTTCTCATATCTTTCTTGAAAAAAATGTTCATTTGATACTCATTGGCAAACTCCTTCATAACCTCAGTGTATGAGCACACAGGGCATTCTTGGCTCAGCAGGCTTAGCTGAGCTGTCAGATCTAGCAATGGTCCCAAGAGGTCACAGCTGAAGGTGTGTTAGTGATGTGGTTCAGGACCTTTGCCTACTGTTTGTGCTGACTCTGAAAATGAAAAGGGACTCAATATCTCCAGCTCTCAATCTCTCTTGAGCTTTTCTCCATATGCAAATTTGTACATAAATTATGAAAAGGTAACCCAAGCTTACTACTACCAATAGTAATGACTGGAGTTCATTTGCTGGTCAAGGGCCCTTCACCTGCTAAGCATAGCAGCTGTTGGGAAAAGGCTCTCAGGCTCAGCTAAGCCTCAAATTTGTCTTGTTCATGCAGGTCTCTGTTTATGAACAAAAGTTTGGAAGTTTGTTTACTGTGATATTGGGCAGCAGAGGACATTTCCAAAGGGTAGGACAACTGAAGTTTTCTGAAATGTTAGAGAAACAACTTACTGCTTGCTTTGTGCTCCCTTCCAAAATCGACTGGTTTAGAAAGCTTTAGGCAAGCTGGCCAAGGGACTTATTTTGCGGGAAAATTGAGAGCATGTGATGAGGAGATGCTCTTCTTTCATCTGCCAGCTTGTCACAACACAGAAAAAGAGTAAAGAGTGGTACAAGCAAGGGGATCCTATTGAAGATGTCAACATGAAAGAAGTTGGGTTACCAGGTCTTGGCCAAGGGAGATTATTTTATTGTTCTTTTCATCCCACGCCACTCTTCAGTAGTTGTCACTTTTGGTCTTCTCTGCTTTCCCAGGAGAGTGGGGACAAGGTGGGATATGCCTCCCTGGGTATATCATCACAAAGCAAGAGCTTAGTTCTTAGCTTAAAAGGGACAATGACTGAGTACAACTAGATCAGGCTTCTTCAGCCAACTTGAAGTAAGAAAGGGAGAACTGTGGGATTTTTCTCAAAGGAAAAACAACTTTTTAACTGAGTTGGAAAGTCCCTGATAAGGTGGTTGTCATATCTAATGTTTCACTGACCTAGTGTCTTTTATCATAGCAGCAGCCTCTTAAAGCCAGATAGTTCAGTCGACAACACCAGTCTGACTCAACCCTGATCTCTCCTTCCTGGGTGCGCTTGCAAGTCTCGCAGAAGACTAAATGCTCACCAGCCTCAGTCTCTGCTTAGGGTTTTTGCAGTTCCTTGAAGATGCTGCCAGGTGGCAGTCCCTTAACATAGCATTCTCCAGCTGGGGATGGGAGTGCCTCTAATGCACAGCTTTAGCATCTGGGGCTTAGCCAGCACTGTTTAGTCCAAACACTGTAATCAGAGAGGAAAGCCCTAGCTCAAAGGCCAGTCTAACTTTTCCTTGAGATTAATGGTGCTGAAGGTAGTCTGGGCAGGGGAAAGGACGAGGAGGGGTTGGACTGTGTTGCAGTGTTTTCATGTTTTAAAATACACACTGCATTCAAATTCTTGCCTTTAAATCTCCCAGCTGCTGTTCTGTCATGCAGACTTCATGGTCTGTGAGCTGAGCTTGCCCAAGGAGCAGCAGCTGGGAGATATAAAGAGGAGGTATGGCTACCCGTGCTGTCTTCACTCCTCCACTCATGTGTAAGCACTCTGTGCATCCTGCTGTCTTGGCTATCCCTCTGCTGTCTATAACTTAGGAGTTCCTACACGTGATGGGGGACCCCTTTCATTCCTCCCAGCTCTCTGCTGCTATCCACAGGCTTGCAGATATCAAATAATGCTGCTTGCAAAGGCTCCCTGCCTTCACTGACTCTAAGGTTGTAGGGGCACTGAGATTAGTGTACTCATTCATGACCATGTCCTGACATATGTATGACATGAAAAGCAAGGAAACAACATTACTAACCCTTGCCTGCCACAAATTTCCACAGCTCTTTGTAGCATGGAGAAACACATAGCTAGAAACTTCCCCAGCCTAAAAGTGGTGTGGTCCTTTCTGAGAGAGCGTAGCAGTGCAAACACTCCAGCAGGCCAGGAGTGCTACTTGGCAGTTGATTTTTGTGTCTCCAGAAAACTCAGTGAGCCCTTGAGAGCAGCACTAGAGAGCAGTGGCTCCGTGGGTGTTTATTCTTGGTAAGGTACTTCTGAGCAATGCCAGTCATCTTCTTGGTCTCAGCCAGGATGTTATGTGAGCTCAAGTTGACCAGCCCAAGGCAGCAGCATTTGCCTTGTGAGAGCACAGCTAAAGAAGCTGGTTATCCAGGGATTCTGGCTGTTCACTCTGCACCACGTACAGACTTTGGATGGTGAACAACAACCTGTTGTTACTTTTGCGCTGGTGATTTTGCATTTGGAAGAAGCATCGTGTTTGCGATGTATTTCATCTCTGCCTGCTCTGGTTCTTGCTACTTGTGAAACCTTTGTACTTGGTTTTCGAGAAACCTTTCCTCTCCTTTTGAAATACTTTACTAGAAAAAATCCCCAAGAAATAACTACTGAAGTGCTACCTTTATTTTGGGGGCGTGCCTTCCACAATGCCTCCTCCCCCATAGCAAGTTATATGGGGTTTACAACAAGGACTAGCTTGTTCACAGGCAGGAAGGGTGAGAGATGGTGGAATCTGCCATTTGATTTCTCTTTTCTAAATGAAAACATTTTCTCATAATTGGAGACTGTAGCAATATTGCCAAGCCAGACATTCATTTATCATCACTGTTTGTATTACAGCAGAGGCAAAGAACTGCAATTGTGGATTAGGACAAGGTGTTGCACAAGTGCACGACAAAATGCTCTAACAACCCAAATAGGCAAGTGCATGTTGAATGCGTTTTAAAGTGACAAACAGCAATCCTTTCTATTTTTAAGGAGCTACTATGTGTCTGATTGTACAGTATAGCACTCAACTTCTCTCAGAGGTCTGGAGGAAGCAAAGGGCATCCATGGGAACACATAGGCTGTCTTCCTCCATAAAATCCTTACCACTCTTGACATGCAATATGCTCTAGTTTATTCCAAAGACAAAGTACCTTAAAAATAATGCGAGCCCCACAGAATATGATCAGCTGCTTTCTGCATTAGCAGCAGTAAAAGAAAGGTACATTCTATTAAAAGCAAGGGAACTCACCCAGCTTTCTGTTAAAGTGGCAACGTTTTGACCAATTTTCCATCCTTCTCCAAGACCCTGCTCTAGCTCATTGCAGGGAAGCACACAGTGAATCTGCCACGTGCAGGATGTGCATGAGAGGAAAACACTATCTGTACTGCTCCCTCATGCAATTGGCTTTGACACCAGCCCTCAGAGGCACCCACAGAAGTGAATGTGTCTGTGCATCGGCACGCTAGGGAAAAACTCTGCTTCTTTTCAGTCATTAATGATAGGTATCTCAGCCAGGTAGCCTCCACCTGGAAAATGAGGCACCTTCTTCTGGGCTGGGAGTATCTGTGCCTTGGGAGACTTCCAAAAATGCATCCACAACTCACCTACAGCAGCTGCCAGAAAAAAAGGAGCTCAGACATGAATACGCACATGCACGCACGTGCAAGCGCACACAGCAAAAGGGAGCAGGACCATGAGGAAGGAGGATGGCAGGACTCCATGTAATGGCAGATGGGCCAGCTCCAGCAGCCCAACCTCAGCTGGGCGGAAAACATCCCACCTCTGGCAACTTCCTCGCCCAATGTGCTATTAAGTAAAATCATGCTCTTGCTAGATTGAATTTCTCAGCAGATCAAACAGGATTTAGTACTGTTAACCCTCATCCTCTGTGAAAGTGCTCAGCTTTCTAGCCTAATGCTTCGTGTTTCAACAGCTTATTTGGGAAGTGATCAAGCACAGTTAAGGCTCCTATTAACCACATATGCTAAAAGCATTGCTTTTTGGACCAGACAGCATAACAAAATTGTTCTTATTGCATTTGTTAGACATCTAGGTTGCATTTGTGAGATATCTCATGTCACTTTTCAAAGTCACTGGTGTGTTTTGTCCAAATTCCAGGCCATTTCCAGTGTTACATGCTGTCTTGCACAAAATACATGTGCCCTATGTGCAGCAGTTCTACACGTGAGGATCGTGCCATGTTTCACAGAAAAAAAAGCCACAGAGGATATTTTAGGAGATGCAAAATTGCATTGCTGTTTTCCCATTTACTTTACAGCCAAATCTGCCTGAACATACTGTCTCCAAAACTTTAAAGATGAAGGAAGAGAAAAACTGTGATTAATACTGAATGAAATCCTCTTAATACATCTGAAATTGTTCTTTGTATAACAGTAATATCATGATTCAGGTCTAGTTATGGACTGACCTGACAGATTACTGTTTTATACTGTTCAGAGGAAATTATCAACCCTTTTTTATTAAAATAAAACTGGTTTTACTTCTGATAGTACATGACAATATTGAGCCTTAAATGTGTCATTTGTCCAAAATTATAATTGGTCAAATAATAACAGTCTAATACTGAGTTTTAGTAACATGGGGCTTCCTAAATCATAATTTTTTTTCAAGGAATTCCTTTTCAAAAATATTCAGTGAATGTCATGAGTCACTTCATGCTTTCAGTAGGCTGAAGATGATATACTAAGGCTCACATTCAGAGGAATATTTCTGGATGCAACTGAAGTAAATAAAATGGGAAGTTTCAGACTAGCTTTTGGCTTTGGACTTCATTATCATTTATCTTTATTATTGTTATTCAGCATTGATACTTCAAGTTTGACCTTAGGAACTTGCAGGTTAAATTGCAGAGTTTTGTCTATATATCCTGATAAGAAGCCCAAAATCATCTAAGATGGTGGTAACTGACAATAAAT